ACACACACACACACACACACACACACACACACACACACACACACACACACACACACACACACACACACACACACACAACCCAATACATTCACCCAATAACCTATAAAATTATATAAACACTCCATAACATCTCGTCGCCGAAACAAAAGTAAGAGCTTAGACAGGTCCGTATCCCACTATCTCCTAATACCTCATTCTCATCTCACCACTCTAGATAAGACCACGCCAATGGCCGACTCGCTGTCACAAAGATCTGAGATGAACGAGGACTTTGACGATGGTTTTGATAATTTGCTCATCATAACAAATTACAGCAGGGTGCAGTTTTATAGCACATTATAACAATAGTGTTTTATCTCACGTTAAAAAGTAGGCTCTACGAGATTTATATTATTGACATCATCAAACTGTTGATAACGGTACAGATAAAGCTGTCATCATCCTGTAAACTTCATATTATGTGAGGCAGCGTGGTGGAATCAGGCTCTCGTCAATTTTTGGCGATGTAGAGTTATTGGTATCAACTTAAAGCTTGTCCACTTGTCTTTATTTGGATGAAAAAAATATCCATTTATCTTGAATACAAGTTGAGCAAATTTGCGAAAGAAGGAGGTGGGGGTCACTTGTTTTCAGACGTAAAACAAGTGACAAAATGGCTGCCAAAGATTAGTTATTTCCTTAGCTTAAGAGTCCGTGGTAACCGAAAATGTACATTTTTTGTGCCTTTAATCAACGTTTTTCAGAAAAATCCACACATAAATGAGTTCTTTAATGGGCCTGCAAGGTGTTGAGCCAAAAAACAATAATAAAAAAAAACAAAAAAACCTGCGGAAAAATGCAAGTTTCTTCACTTTGATTATTTTTATGAGAGCCTGATACCACTACGCTGCCTCACATAATACTGTTGCGCAATGACCCCCGTTTTGAAAAGTTGAAATGTTGTGTTCATAGGTTATTGACATGTAATCGGGCCTTACACCGACCTTCTATCTTTGGTAAAGGCGTCGGTGGCCTAGTGGTTAGGCTCTTGGACTCGCAACCGTAAGGTCGTGGGATCGAATCCCGTCAGGGGCCCGATGTTGTGTCCTTGGGAAAGGCACTTTACACGAATTTTCTTCACTTCGCCCTTTTGGGAATGGGTACCCAGCTATAGACAGCGAAAGATCTTGTCAGTTTGTTAGTGTTTGAGCTCTTAATCAGCTGCTTGCACTGTATGCTTCCCGGGAAGTTGAGAATGTCTCTGAGTGTTCTATGGTCTGCTGGGGTAATAATGTAGTGTAAAGCGCACAGAGCTTGCTGTAGAGCGTGGTAATACACTTTGCAAATGCTATGTATCATTATTATTGTTATTATTATTATTATTATTTTTACTACTATTATTATTTATTCATCTATTTATTTTAAAATATTACTATTATTAAAGCAACGCACGCTGAAATGGTGTGTCCATGTCACCCGTTCTTCAGGCCTTGCTAAAACCATTCAAGAAGGCACTGTGCAGAGCGGACGAATGAGAGGCAGACAGAAGAAGAGATTGGAGCTTAACATCCGAGAATGTACAGCCATGGAGCAGCAGGACACACAGAGGAAAGCAGAGAGCTGAGAGAAGTGGAGGAGATTTGTAGTCAGCTATCAGAGTATTCAGAGGCGACCCAAAAGGATGACGAATCAACGGCAGCAGAAAAGAAAAAAAAGGTTATTGACTGCCAAGTTATGTAATGATTAAGGGCCAATTTTCCCATACTGTAACCTTTCACCGTCAGTTTCCCTCACAGTTTTGTTTTTCAAAGTGCCTGCCACCAATATGACGCTATAACTATAATATGTGAGGCAGCGTGGTGGAATCAGGCTCTCGTCAATTTTTTGGGCATGTAGAGTTATTGGTATCATCTTAAAGCTTGTT